TGCAATGCTCCGAACTCACAGGGCAGTGGTGGTTCACCTGTCCTGTTTGTTGGACTTTGAGCCAGGAATACCAAACATTTGTAAACGGATGTTCAACCCCTTCAGGATTTTTATGTGGTTCCGAATCATGTCCATCGCTCACAGCGAGAAGTTTAGAAGATTGCGGGTTTAGAAGGAAATGGCCTGGCAGGTGGAAGAATCTATGGACTATATATATATATACACAAACAATTCAGCTTCGGCAGAACAAATTATGAAGTTGCATGGTGGCCTGGGTCCCCAGCATCTCGGCAAAACTCGATCCTGTTCTGCTGTAAATCCTTTTGAATCACGTTGAGAGGTGGCTTAATCACATGGAGTCTTGAGTCATGACTGTTTGATTTGTTGAGCGTCAGGTCTCAAAATTGGGGAATCTTGAGGCATGACATGGTAGTTGGTATCATATTGCGAATTAGATCCTTGCATGCATACTTCAAGTCGCAAGATCAACAGCCCCAGCTAAACATACTGCGGAGCTCCCAACGTAATAATATTCCAGACTCATCCCTTCCTCAAACCTATCAAAACCATTCAAAACCTCCAAACCATGTCCTTTTCCAACCGCTCCACCAAACCACTTGCTTCCGCTGAAGAAGAAAGAACACACACCAAGCGCGCTTCTTCCGATGCTCGCCCGCACCCACATACGCCACGCGCCACGCGCCACGCTGACGCCACGCTGATGCCACGCGCCTCACGCCACGCGCCTCGCGCCACTCGTCCGATACGGGAGGCATCGATGAGGACGCTCCACTGGATGACGTGGTGAAGGCCTATCGCCAGCGCGCGCTGGCCGAGCATCCGGACAAGGGCGGGGACGTCGATCGCTTTGACGCGCTGAAGAAGGCCTACGAGGTCCTCAGTGACCAGCAGCCTGACAGGAATTCTCGGGAAGCCGAGGGAATTCTGTCATATAATGTAAAAAAAAATCCTAATTACGAGAATGTCACAATATGTGATTCTTTGTCAACGGTCTACTACTGGGAGTCATACATTAGTTTGCTGACAGCTGGCGAAGATGGGACTTGGGATTCCCTCATCGAGATGAATGCAAACTACCTGAAATTACACAGATGCCAGTCTCACTACAAGTGGGTCTCTTACAAACACAGACCGGGTCTTAAGCAGCCATGCTGGCCCAAAGTCGTCCATGCATGGCCAATGGCTTTGTCAATTTCAGATGGAGAAGAGGATGGGACTGCTGTTTGAATGTTGTGCATCCCCTTTTACTTTCTCTGCTGGGCGCCCCCTTGGAAGGTTCAGTTGACGGCGGAGCAATTGGCCTACTTGGATTTTGGGAAGGAGTTCTTTGAAAGGGGAAGTTGCTTGGTTTGTTTGTGCAGCGTGTTCAGCACTTCAGCCCTGCCTGTGTGTCTCACAGCTGAGGATGCCACCGATTCTTGGACTACTTTGATTCCAACTTGCAATCGTTCACCTATGCTTCTGATTGTGCCTTGGCTAGGTGTTTGACTCTCTCGCGCCTTTTGATAGTTGCACACTTTGTGATTGATTATCCTATCAGGCAGTGGGATTGATGCGCCATGGTTTGCACTGAAGATGCTCCTGAAGAACAGCAAGCGGCCAGTTAGACTTGAGTATGTGCCTCTTGGCTCAAGATGTTCCCAGGTTCCATCTTTCTTTCTACTGACGATGGCTTGCATTGCATTCACAGCTGAGGCACAACAGCGAACGAGATCGAGCTGCGCGGGTCTTTCTGAAGCAGAACCTGCCACCGCCGGTGCAGACACCTGGCTTGATTCGGGCTGGATTGATTCAGACTGCTGAGAGTCAAATTCTTTTCTATAGTTTATCAGGACTTTTCGGAACATCTTTGACACCGACATGAAGGGCGTGAAGAGGAAGATATTTTTATACACAGCGGGGTTTCCATGCACCCCGTATTCTCGTTTGCGCTCTGGACGCAACCCCTGGACCGATGGCAATATGGCCCAGATGTGGAGAGTACTGGACAATATTTCGGAGGCGCAGCCGGTCGATTCTTGAATCGAATATGTTGCTTCTTTTTCCCAGGTGTTCATCACACATTATGCAACTGGTCACATCCAAGGCATGCATTCTGGAGAACGTGCTCGGCTTCCAGGATGTCTTGCCATCAGTGCTTGAGACGATTGAAGAAGAACTTGCTGAGTCTTTGGCCTGATGTTGTTTCAACATGCTTCGATAAAGGGTCTCACAGGACTCACTGCAGTCAAGAACTCTGAGGTATGCAGTGGCCACAGAGATCATTGACCCGCCTCTTGACAGTAGACCGATGCACTTTGTCATTGTGTTGTTCATGAATCATTGTTCCGATTGTTCCGGATCTGAGGTATCAACATGGCAGCCCGATATCTCGCCAGCGTATCTTCATCCTTCTCATAAGGAAGGAACTGATGGAGAATGAGTGCCAGCTGGACAAGGTCTTTCAGAATATGAAGGGTTTGTTGCAGTCCCAACCCGATGTTCATTGGTTGCTTGGCAGTGGGAATGTGGTCTGTATTTGCTTGTGACATCGAACAAAGTCATAATAATATGTTTTGTCAGGAAAGACCTTCTTCTACCCCGTGGTGATCCAATGGTACAGGAGGACATTGAATTCAGAAAGCGACTAAGAATGGCTATGTTTGCCACAAAAAAAAGTCAGAGACCGGGACCCATAGCTGCATTAATCCTATTTGCATTCGACTGCGGTTCAACTTGTTCTGCATTCCATCACTTGACTTTGGGGAAGGAACGGTGGTGAACCACAATGGAAGAAGCACCATGCTGACTATGCTAAGAAACATGGAGTGGCCGTTACTTGCCTATGCAGTATCATGGTCAAAAATCTTGCTAGGCTACATGATCTTGCAACCACAAAATTTGGTACACCAAGGTTGAGGAAGCAACAAGCTGCCTCAAGAAGGCCTATCCGCTGGTTTCTCCACAGGTCGCATCGCAGCGTGAACGTGAGGCCTGGCTATCTCTCAGCACCACAATTTCGTTCAGTCTCAGTGGTTCTTTCTGCATCAGGCCCTGGACCTCAAAATCTATCACCGGGGACTCTTTCAGTGCAATCAACCCTACGCAAAGCATTGATCGAATGCCAGTGATCTATGGCAATCATGAGCCGTTGATGGTGCTGACGTGCCATAGCCGGATCAGAAAACTACTATGTGAAACTCTAATCCAAAACTATTGAAACACTAACATACACTAACCAAGCAAACCAATAAACAAGGCTGACCATTCCATGCTCCAAGGCCAGCTGGACAATACTTAATTGGATCTCAGCAACGCTTCTTATTGGGCTGCTTGGCTTCAATCCAAAGGCCTCTCAGACTCTCAGCTCCAAGCTCCTGGCCAAGGCTACGAAGTTCTTTTGTTGATGGGGGTCCCGGTCAACACTCTCAAGCTTCACAATCTATCCAATTCTGCCCCTTGACTGCAGCAAGTTAGACTATATATATATATATGGTACACATATGTACGCATATCCATCTCAGGACCTTCGGAAACTGGGTGGCAATTCCATTGCTCTGAGGGCAGTTGCGGTAGCGATTTGCACTTGCCTGGCGGTGGTCAACCCTGCCTTGGCCCAGCGATATATGTGTGGCAACATGTCAGGTTAAACCTTCGACGCAATATGTATCGCTGAGAACACAAAAGCTGCCCCACTGACCATGGACCGAGGGTTCGAAGGTTTGAAGCATTGTGCATGGCATGGTGCATGGAATCGTGCATGGCCGCCGCCGCAGTATGTAGGGTTCTGCTTCTTTTTGTCAAACGTCTTGAATAGCTGTCCACCACTACAAACAATTTTTTACTAAACATCATCACTGTCCGACAAACTGCCTTAAAAACATAATGCTTCTTCTTCACAACATGCTTTATGATCTTTATGTCATGCCCGACCTGATCAACACGAATTTACAAACTGATCCTGTTTGTGCATGCCAATCCTGCATCGTTGGGATGACAATGATGATGAGGAGGAGGAAAAAGCGACACCAAGGGCTTCAACATGGCGCTGTGATGAAAGCTCGGAGGAAGATGTGGTCCCACCAAGAGATGTGAAGCGAATGCGATGTTCTGAGGATTCTGTTTGGCGCTATGACTCTGATTCTGAAGCTGATGACTCTGCTGGTTCGAGACTTGGGCTATTGAAATTAATTGAAATTTACGGTTTTGTATTTGGATTTTGGGATGTGTTGTGAAAAACAGTCAAGTGAGTGTTCAGAGTTAGAATTTAGAATTATGAACCATCTGTAGGAGCTCTGCTGGCCTTTCAGATGCAGATGATGGAGCAACATTGGATGTCCATTTGTCCAGTGCAGGGCTTCAGGCGTTCCATTGCAATGACCCTGGACATCAATCATCCTACAGTTGCAATGGCATGTGTCCAGAGCGTATCAAGGCTGTTCTTGCCAAGCCATCATGCCCTTGCAAATGCTCTATGCCCTGTTCTGCCCTGCAAAAGGTATGTTCTACCTTTTGGTCACTTGGAAAGCAGGTACAGGACTCGGTTTTGTGGAGCCTTCAAAGTGGCAACTCGAGCAAGAGGAACTACTACATTGAAGGAGATTGTCATTAAAACATATTATATTATATTGTTTGATATGGGTTTTGCTTTTGAGTGTTTGAGCTTCCTATGCCTCAAAGAGCTTCCTATAGCAGCACTTGGTAGGACATCAGCTGTGCCGCCAAAGCTGGCTACGGTTCATGGGCATTGGCAAATCACGGCTACAACGAACAAGAGCAAGACACAGAGGCTTGGATGAGAGAGGAACCAAATGTGGAGACTTGTCCGTGAGTTTGAGTCTTAATCTTTCCAGGTTTGACAGTGATAGTTTTTGGCAAAGATTCATTCAAATTTGTGCAGCATGGTGCAGCTCAAACAAGGATTGGCAACACGTTCTGCAGCTTCAACCGACTCTTGCAATGCTTTCTTCATTGCTTTGTATCATGAAGCCGCTGAATCAATGCCCACAAAGCTCTTTGCGATTGCAATTATAAAATTTTGCTGTTTCTTTCAATGGGTATGAATCAACTTATCAATGAACTTGTCAGTCACTTTTACACGGACATGCAAGGTTTGCCAAGAACGAGCTACTGGAGAAATCAGATGAGCAACTGAGGGATGAACTGCTGAACCGGCTCTTGTCACATCGTCTTGAAGGCGCAACCCAGCAGGTGATGAACACCAGCGATCCAACACGGCTTCCCTATCGAGAACTCCCACATGGCTCAGCTGGGAACCTGTATTTGCTCTACCTGGCACAGTGCCGTGCAGAGCACCAAGAAGAAGCCTCACGTTCGACCTTCTACAAGGCTTGGAAGAAGTGGAAGACATGCATGACTTTCCACAAGAAGAGTGCCCACAGTTTGTGCTTGCAGTGTTCCGAGATGCGGGCGGCGATTCGGGCTGCAAAGGACTTTCAGGAACATGCCCGTTTGTCCCAAAACCTCTTCCATCACTACACATCGCAATACAAAGACAGGCAGGTCTATTATCTTGCAAGGGAAAGAAGCTGTTTGAAGAAGGACCTCATTTGCATCAATGTGGACAGCTTTGACAAGAGCAAGATAGCACTTCCAAAGTATCCTTTTGGAAGGGTTCCTAAAAAGGTGATCTTTGAAGAGACAAGGAGAGCCTTTCTCTTAATTTGGTGATAGTGGTTTCCATGTTTGCATTTCTTTGCATTGGCGTTTATTATCATCTGTGATTTGCAGTTCTCTTTTTAAGGAACATATCTCACATTGACATGTGTGCTGGTAGCTGGATTTGGCACCTATCTTTTCCTCAGCGAGGAAGGCATGAGCGAAGGAAGTGCCTGGAACTGGGAATGCGCATCTTGATGGCGTCCATCATGTTGTCATGTCTTGCAAGTTTTTTAGGTTCTCATCATCCCTGTTCTACCATCCTGTTCAGGTAATGCGGGCTTTGGAATATGTCTTCCGGAAATGCCGTTCTCAAGGAACACCCTTTCCTCATGAGAACCTTGGGTTGGATTCAAAAAAACTTTCCTGTCCATGGCATGACATGCATGTGGAGGTAAGATGTTTAGATATGTTGAGATAAGCTTTGCTCACTCCATGATCTGTTGTCAAAAGAGGTTTGTTTGACTGTTTGTTTGCTCGTCTTTTGGATGGACACGGTATCTGAGGCTGTGGTTACAATCTGACAATACAGTCAAAGAGATCCGGAATGGAATTGCTGGCAGGCTTTGCGCGGCCCTGGTGCAGGTCGGTGTCTTCACGTGTGCGTCCCACAATCATTTGATTGTGGGACACACTCATGAGGACTGTGATGCTCTCTTTTCTGTGGTTGCTACATGCCTGGCTTCCTGTCCGAGCTTGGAAACTCCTGCGGACGTCATCCGTTGCATCAGCAGGAAACTGCAACCACTGGTGGAAGGCAAATCTCTGGAGTTCAAATGTGAGATGATAGAGACGGTGCTCAGGTGGCATTTGAAGTCTTTTAATTTGTAATGGTTTTGCTTGGGACTAGTGTCATGGCATTTCAACTTTAGAATGCTCAGGCGAGAGACTGGGTGCAGCTTCTTCCAAACTGCATCACGCTAAAGAACGCCTATAGAGACAGGAAGGCAAAGGCAGGCGAGGAGAAGAAGAAAGTGCCCCAGTCATTCACGTTCCTTACACGAGAAGGCGCACTCCTGAAAACCAAGTTTGGGAGACAATGATGTTGGTTGAATTGAACTGAGTGATCATGTTTGACATTGTCTTGGGTTGTAGTTGTTCAACACTTTGGTGCAGGCATGCCACGACAAGGTCACGACATTGACAAGGATGAAAGACTTCCAAGACGGCTTCGATGTGAGGACTATGACAGCCGTCGTCTTGATGTGTTTGCTTTGATCAAGCAAACAATGGCAGAGCAAGCGCTGAGCCAGAATGCTTTACTTGTACTTCCACAGACCCTGCTGAGCGAAACTGAAGCATTCTTGAACTCTGTGAGCCTTTGGACAAAATATTGGTCAGCATGATTTCACATAGTGTCAAGGAACCATGGGTTGTTGGTTTAGGTGCTGCTGTATGATCACATGACCTATCTGAGGAACACTGGTCCCTTTCTACAGCCCTGAGCGAGAAGAGGAACTACGGGAGCTGAGCCAAGCAATACGGGAGCACTTCCCACACATGCATCGGAGTGTTTCCTTCTACAATGATCTGCTGAAGAATGGAAAGCAACGTCCACCGTGCCATGGCCAAATTGAGAACTGACATCTTGAGTTTAAGTCTGTGATACCATGGATTGGTTTGCATTGGAGTCAAGGTATATGACGCTTTCTTTTCTCGAGAATCCATCCAATGCAACCAGCCGATGGTGCCAAATCAATCTGGGTGAGAGGCCTCCTCCACCAAAGCCACATGCGCTTCAGGTGGTATTCCACAGGGCAAATGGATGAGGCATGCCTTGACATCCCTCTGTGAATCACAAAACACCAGTGTGTGCCAAGACATGAGTGACAAGAGTGCAACCTCTTCAATTGCCAGGGGGGTTGAAGCAAAGACTTCAAATCCGACATTGGCTTGACCATGGATATCTCATGGATTGAAAACCCTTGTGCATTGGAAATGCTTATTGCAGGATATTACGTAAAGGAGCAATCAGCTCATTGATGTCACACAGGGTTCATTCAGATTCATTAATTTTGCAATCTTGGCAACCTGACTCACCACATGTGTCTGCCTCCTGCAACATTAGCCTCAGGGATCACTGATTGACGCAGTGAGGGCAGTAGGGAAGATGGGGGCGGAGCTGGAAGATGCGCCTACCACCGTCCGCTCCCAGTTGCTGGCCTACCTGGAGACCGCTTCTTGCTTGAACTGACTTGTCATCCTGACTTCAGGCTTTGTGTAAAGTTGATGTTGACAAATCATGTTCTGTTTGAAGGTTGCGGGAAAATCCAACATTGGTGATCATCTGAATACAGTGTTCGTGGAGACAGAGAAGATGAAAGCAGTCTTGAGCTTACTCAAACTTGAGTCAAAGTCTTTTGCAGTCTGTTTGTACCATGTCTGCTCTATATCTCTCAGGCGATTGAACGATATGTTGATCGATGGCCAGCAGGCCCATCCATGCGATCAGTTCTTGGCATGGTCCCACAGAACACGGTCGAGGAGTTCTTTTTGCCATTGAATTCCTTCGATTATAGCAGCAAAAGCAAGAATGGCTGTTCCTTGGTTTGAATAGTTCAACTTAGTGCTGCGGAACTGATCATTCACACGTAGACTGAAACATTGATTGTGATCTCTTGCGCAGTCTTTCCAAACAATGGACAGCTATGCATTGTGATCCAAGAGTTTCTGAAGACTGGTTATTGCCCTACATTTGATGCCATCCGGGTCAAGTTCCCTTATGCAGATGAGACACGTGAGCTGCGGGATTGGACAACAGGAGTGGTGGATGGACAAACACGAGTTCTGGCTTGCTTTGCCATTGTCGGTTTCTGTGCTGAGCTGGAGCTGGATGATTTGCAGATGATGGAGATCCAGGATGTTCTTTCCAGCTTGAAGCTGTTGAGATGCTCCTACAAGCATTTTGATCATCCTGGACACCATTTCCTCCACAGCCTCAGTGTCTCAGTTTGCTATGAAGACTGACATGCCATAGAAAGTAAGGTGTTATTGTTCATTCCCAAGTTTCCTGAACCCTTGATATGATATTAAGAACTGGGCTACATCACCTCCGAGAAGGTTGCTCCTTCAGCAGTGCAAATTGTGGCAGACCTGAGATCTGCCATAGACATCGAGAAGCGTTTGTCCAAAGGTCGGCCACTACCGCTCAAGGACCTGCTTGGCAAGGTCATATCAGAATACAACAAGTTGGTATCTATCAAGCGGCACCGCATAGACACGACCAAGAAGAACCTCACATACAACTTGTTCCTTGGTTGTATGGAAAGGGTTGCTTGTCTTTCCTTTTCACCATTTAGACACAACTAACTCAGGCTCAGATGCCCAGGAGAAGTGCTGGAGCTGGTGCACCGTCATTATGACTCCTATGTCCACCATCAATCTGGCAGCTTGCATTTAAACAGTGGCTGTTTCATACACTTGGCATTTCAACCAAACTCAGGGTCGGGTAATGGAGTGATCCCTGACAGGCTTGCCATTGGAAGTTCTTGCATTGGACTTTTGGGTGCCATCAGTCTCTTCCAGATGGGAGCTTCCTCGATTTGCCAGCGTGAAGGTGTTCAGAGAGATTCTGGCAACCACTGAGGAATCCGCTGTGGCGTACATCAAGAGAGCTTGCTTGGACTTCGAAAAGGCTACAGGTCAAGCAAGCTCTGCGAAGACTCGGAAATTTGCTATGTTGACGGAGGAACAGCATTTCATGTTGCATGATGTGTGCTGCCTTTGGACATGGCTACTTCGGAAGCTGACCTCCGAGTTCACTGGAGAAGTGGTCACCAAGGTCACAGACATGTTCTACAGAGGGCTTCTTGGAGTTAATTATCAATGTGTTTGCTTCGAATAGGTAGTCAGGTTGAGGGCATTGACTCACAGGGATTGCTAGCAAATAGTGATTAGATGTGATTAGTTTATCATGTATATGGTAACTTTACCAACCTTTGTCGACTGAATTCACATTGTTTGCCAAAAAGATGTGGCTCAGGGGCTGAGGGTGGTGATGCATCATTGGTCGCCAAAAACATTTGGCTGGGGCAGCATGCAAATCATTGGGCGCCAAAAACATTTGGCTGGGGTGGCATGCAAATCATTGGGCGCCAAAACCATTTGGCTGGGAAGGCATGTAAATCATTGGGCGCCAAAAACATTTGGCTGGGGAGGCATGCAAATCATTGGTTTTCTAGGAACCCGATGATGGGACGGTGATGGGAGCCGATCAACATATGGTTTTCCAGAAATAATGATAAATTCAAATGTTAGGAAATTCCCAATGACCCAGGCAGCTTCCCAGGCAAGTGCCCCGGAATCATTGGCTCTCCAGAAACCCAATGATAGATGACAAGTACATAGAATAACCAATGAAACCTCTTGAGCTTAGAAATTGATACAGTGAATCATTGGTTATTTTTTCAATAGGGTTTCATCATTGGGTCTCCAGAAACCCAATGAAACTTGGAGGGTGTTCCACGGATCTTGAAGTTTCATTGGGTTTTTTGGTTTTGATATTATGTTATTTATTTAACTTATTTTTTAAAACAATTGATTTCAGAGTTCAACTGACTGAGGAGCTTGGATTCAGACCTGGGTAGCATCATGAAGACTGGAGAAGATTTGATTGGCTGAGACTTCCCTTCGTGCTTGAGATCAAGGGCAGGACGATGGAGGAGTATGTCTCGCAGAATCAAGATCGAGCTCGCAATGCACACAACAAGAGTGTGGAATGTGCCTTTCAAGCTTGGACAGAGCAACTGCGGGCTGACCAGGGCTTGTTCGAGTCCATCAAGCTGAAGTAGCTTGGCATGATATCAACTTTCAGTTTTTCATAGTGTGTTTCCTTCACACTGTATTGTTCTTTGCATTTTAGGTCAGAGAAAGAAGGTGGCAGGATGAGGCAGAAGCTTGTGAAGAACCTCGAGGCTAGATTGACAAGATAGCTGCTTGACATTGTTTGCCAAACATATGCATCCAACCCTTCCTCCAGGATTGTCACAACCGAGCCTGGAGTTGCATCAAGGACTTCATCGAGAACAGTATGATGACCTTCCCTGGAAGACAGTCAGATGCAGACAGTACCATGATGCCTGCGGCTCGCAGCTGGATTCGAAATTGCCTGGAGGAAGAATGCATTTCACCGGAAGACCATTCTGTTGTTCTATGGCTGAATTGCACTACGATTGGAATCATTCCAACATTGAAGTATGACTTCTTCCTCACCTTCCTGAGCAATGTCCTCACAGACTTCTCCAAGAATGGGGTGTGCTTCATTGTCTTCCCGAACCGTGCTTCGCAGCTGGACAAGAGGACTGGCGTCAATAGAAAACTCAAAATCAGGACCTTGGTCGTTTTAACTTATAGATCACTTGAAGCAGTATGCAAAATTCAATTTATGGGACATTGGATGACATTGAAGGTATTTCCAAATTAGATAAACTTGAATGACATTGGATGACATTGAAGGTATTTCCAAATTAGATAAACTTTAAGTAGTAGGCATTCATGTTTTCCCTATCCAAGACATGGACACAAACTATCACAAACTGTGAGGAAGTGCAAGACAAAGAAGGAGGAGCTAGATCCGGATTCCACTGGGGATATGAAAGAAGAACCCAAATTGGAGGATGGTGAAAGTGAGAATGAAGATGTTGATGCAGAGGGAGTTCAGGAAGAGGAGGCTGAGCTTCGCGATGTGATCTACCGTATGGAGAAATTTAGATGCACATATTAAGATTGCTTATCTTGTGGGTTCCTCTCCTGACATGTCTTCTTGATTGGCATGCACAAAGCTGCATTTTTGTTTGGTGCTTATGAACTACTTGTGAACCGCCTATACTCCTTTGCAAGGAAGGATCTACAAATGCCAGAGCGAGGGCTTAGTGTCAGAAAAATGACCTGGATTTTTGACACTGTACCTTGGCTTGGCCCATGCTTTCCTCAACTTGGTTTTATGACCCTTTCATTTCCATGTCTGCCCCAAAACTTGACCCGACACATTGGGTAGTTCCTTCCTCCCCACATCTCCTGGAGGCAACTGTCTACGGGAAGCGGGACGGCTGTGTGCATGGATTGGCGGTGACTTCGAGAGACCGTGGGAACCTTTTCAAGTCTACAAGAGGTTGGAAACAAGGCTGTGTTCATGGCATCCAAATGTTGCAGCGGCCTGACATGTTCAAACCAGAACAAGACTCTTGGCTTCATCATGGAAGCCACATACCGACACGTTGTCATCTTTGTATGAAGTGTGTTCTTTCCCTTACCCACTTGTTTGCGCTCTCCCCCACTCATCTCTGCCTGCCAAGGCAAGCCCTGGTCGAGGAGTGCAGTTGCCTCATTTGGGCAGAGAAATGACTATAGTTCAGGAGCTCAAGCAGGATACTTGGCTGCAACCAGGCTGTCTCTATCTTGGTACTGACCTTTAGCCATTAGTGACCTGGTTATCAGTTCCCTGTAATCTGATAGCTGTGGTTCAGGTGGCGGGTGGCACCGATATCCTGAAGAAGAGTATGGCATCATTTTGCATTCCCACCAGCAAGCTTTCCATGATGATCGACATGCACGCTTATGATGGATGGCCTGCAATGTTCTGTTTGGAGGAGCTAGGGGTGTGTTGTGGAAAGAACCATCAACAAATCAAAACTAAATATGTGGGTTGTAAAATAGTAAATAGTAGTTCGTTCAAACAAATTGGAAACAAAACTCTGGTTGGCACAAGGAGCTTCAGGAATCCCGGAGAGCCTTGTGTGCCAGCTTATGCTTCGACAATTCAGGTACGGAATTGGTCAGCAGGATCAGCCACCGCCTTTACGAGGGTTGCCGAGAAGAAAACATGAAGGTCAATGGCTTTCCTGATTTCAATGCCCACATACAGGCCTTGAAGGATTCTACAATGCAGTACAAGGAGGATGCAACCTACAAAGTTTGTCAGCAGCAGCATGACAAGCTGCTGCTCTTGCAATCCTTTGCCAAAAAATGGGTGGAGTCAGAAATCACCATGGAACGGGCAAAGGCGATTGTGGAGGACCACAATGAACGGTTCAATCCTGGCTCTGATGCTGACTATTGGGCACCTGATGAGCTCTTCAGCTGCATGGAACATATTAAACAAATACTCCCTGTAAGTGCCCGTCACTGCCCCTGTCCCCATTCTTTCTGGTGAGACTTGGCCCAGGACGGCCACCAAAAATGTCACTGCAGAAGATGCATCAGAACGACCTCAGAAGCGCATCAAGATCGATCACACCAACACGGTGAGCACAGACGAACTGGCAAAATTGAAGAAGCCGCGTCTAGGCATTAGTTAGTTCATGTTAGTTCTAGACTTGATTGCACATAATTAACTATACCAGGTTAAAGCACTCTGCTGGGGTTGAGTGGATGCGTGCCTTTCACCTGAGGATCAAACTGGTCATCAACAGCGCATGTGAGCTGATTTGTGGAGATGATGGTGGATCTTTGTTCATCCACGCCCGTGCGAAGAATCAATTCTTTACTCGCAGAGAGATGTTGCTCAGCAAATTAATGTAATGCCGTTTCTTGTTTCGGAGTGTATGACATGGTTGAACTAAAATTGAGGGGTTGAAGTACTCCATGTCTTAGGTGGAGCTATGGAAAAGGAGAATGGCGAGATGGGAATGAAACCTGTCTGCTCAGTCTGGGCTGGCCGTTGCTGGGTTGGCTTCTGGGTGTGTCCAAGCCTAGCCTTTGCAGTGCCATTTCACATACCCAATCAACTTCATGAGGGACGCATGAATAGGGATATCTTTTGCCTTGGTCATTTCAACCCGCCAATGCCCTTCAATCCCATTTGCACGATGGGCCCCCACACTGCCTCCAGCTAGGCCTTTGTCAGGGGATGGTGAAGACATGCAACCAGGAAAATGTGTGTGTGTCGCAGGCTTCCCTTTCATCAAGGGCAGTCACACAAGAGACATTTGATTTGATATGTAGCATTCCAAGAAGCAATGAACATGCCATGAACCAATTGCCATGTCATCAACCCGGGCGCCGATGAAAGCCATGCCAAAGTCCGCTGTGCTTCAGACATTGAATTTGTCTCCAGCCATGCCCCAGCCCCAATCACCCTCTCAGAAAAGTGAGTGGGTGGAGGTTGTGGTAAGTGATGCAGCTGATGGACACGATGATGACGGCCAGACTGACCTTCAATCTGACTACGCGCCCACGTCCATTGTACATACGGATGATGGAAAGGATGACAATGCGAGGCAACCTGAGGCCTGGCTGCTCAAAGACTTTCTGTTCATGGAATTCTTCATTTCTCAAATCTATGAACCCCAAATCATCCATGCCCCATTTCTCAATCTACTTGCCGTATCACTGCTGCAGTTGGGGACCCTATGTATTGCTTCATCAGACCCACTGCCAAGCACTGGGAAATCAATCAGCGCCAGCATCCCAAAAGCTCACCAATTTCAAAGACAGGGCTGCTGGGCTGCATTCAACAAGTACAATACCTATTTGGTCAGGATGATTCTTGGAAGTTATGTGATTGGTTTCACCTGCTGAGGAAAGAGCCTGCCGCTTGGCCACAACCTGACCGACCAAAAGCGGCAGAAGATCAGCCATCTTGTTGTGCCCTGGATTTCAATTCAAGAACACTGTAGTTCTTTACTAATCCCCCATGCGTGGTATAGTGAATGAGCCCTGTGGTTTTGTCCCTGTGAGATTGCCCACTGAGACCGGCGCCGAGCTCAAGAAACGGCTGGGCACAATGGCATTGGAGATGCGGGCCTGGCAGCTCGATTGTGAAATAATCGTTTTTCCATTGTCTTCATATGGGGCTCAGGAAATGTCTTGCATTAGTCAATATTATTGTGTTTTTGCTTGTAAGTTTTGCCATGCTCAGGAACTGGACAGATCTGAAGGCAGAGGTAGCTTGGTGGTTGGTTAGTAAGTTTTGTGCAGTGTCAAATCCAAGCTCTGTGTATTTACTTTGCAAGCCCCGGGGAAACAGGGGAACCATTCAATTTGCAAGCAAGGACACGCTCTTTGCAGAAGAGGCTGGAGAGCTGGTGGCCGAGATGGAGCACAGCCTATTTCTCTTGAAGAAGCTGCTAAAGCCCTGAAACCCTCAAGATGCAATATGAAAAAATGTGCAGTGGGAGGGGTGGGAGGTGCATGGTGGGCGTGGCCCCGGTCCTAGTCACTGGTCAGGGTACAATCATCTTCCATACCTCTAACCCCTGCCACCACTCCGATCCCTCACAAATCCCATATTATTTCAAAAAGAGTTGATAGTTTCGATGCGAACTCCATTTTGGGAAACATGTAGAGATGAAGGTAGGAACCACCACTGCCACCAACACCATGACGACATCAACCCTCATTCAGCATGCATATGCAAGAGCGATGGCCAAGGAAGCAACAGAAGTTACTCAACAACCTGAGGGGCGATGGTGGTCTTTCAATCTGGACATGAACTCCTTCCTGATCATGGAAAAGAAGGCCATGCCCACCCATCTTGCTTCCCTGGAGTGCCTGGACGTGCCGACAAAAGTCGATGGCATTCTGAAGGAGCTCGAGGACGCTGGTGAAGCTGCCTGGCTTGATCCAGTACTCAGTTTGATTGTCTTGTGGCCCTGTGATGTGTTAAACTTAGTTGAACAAGTTCTGAGTCCTGAAGCCTTGCCTTCTCATGTTTCAGGTGAAGATTGATGTTTCGCATCATGCACTCCGTGAAGGGGCCCTTAGCCGGGTGAAAGAGATCGTGTTTTGCATGGACGACCCGGTCGATTTGGAACAGTCCAAGAAAAAAAAGAAGCCAGAGACATTGGAAGCATCCATCAAGTCCTTTGGATCCTACCTCAATGTCTCGAAGGTGAAATCCTGCTCGTATGTGACACTGGCTTGGAGGTGCCGTCTCGAGTCGATCCCTGGTGGTGGTCAAAAGATCATGCCCCTGAGGCCGGTGTCCATTCTTAGCATGATGCTTGACTTAGATGCACAATGCATTCGCATGTTCTAATGGCTGCTTGTTGCCTTAAAGATGTCGTTCTAATTTCCCATTGTACATGGCAGCCATGAGTTTGACGGGCGCTCGTCTACAACTCACACTTGTTAACTCTGATGCCTACCCTTAGACTAGAATAGATATAGTAAAGTAGTCATGATGAGCTATTTGGACATGTGTGACTGAGCGCCCATGGTGTAGTCCTGGCCTTAGAGGGCCTCAGTCTTAGGCATTAGACCACTAGATTCTCAATGGACGCAGGGGGTTCTGCTGGGCTGCATGGGAGTTTAGCATCATATGCATTTGCACTCGACTTGGTTTCAATAGCCCAAATATCGATGTTCCTGACTGACTAATTGCACTTCTCTGTCTTGACTGTGCAGCAAAGTGGTGAGACGGTAGTTAGTAGTGAAATCTACTACGTGAAAGTCTGATGATCCTCTTACCAGGGGTTGCGCGTCCAAAGGAAAACAAACAAAGCGTGAAACCAGTGCCAGCTATTCAGTGGAAGCACATGGAAGCCAACATGTCATGTGCCAGTGGAGCATGTGAAACACTGAGTGTGGCGTGGGATGAATATGCTCAAGGACAGGGCTGGGTGTAGTGCCACTTGGGCTTAGAGTGTCACACTATAATGGCAGATTCGGATTCTGAGAGCTGCCGTGAAGTGCCTTTATCAACGGCAATGGAGGTCCCAGCCCCTCAACAGAACCGATTGTGTACAGAATGCCTCAAAGACTTCACAATGTAGTAGTCTATTGCGAAATGTGTGTTTGTTGAACCAAGGCTTTTGATGTAAACGCTTTGCTTGCGGGGTCGAAAAAACCTACATCTCCAACTCCCTCGACGAGTGCCAGACCTCCACCATCTGCGAAAGCTTCAAGACCTGCAAAGGCTTCATCAGCAGCAGGCAAAGCTTTGACAAACACAAGCATACTGTGTTATGACTTTGGAGAAACTTTTATTTTGACTTCTTGTGAACCATTTCCTGTCAGGTGGACCTGATGGACATGTGCTGCCTAAGCGAGTGTCTTCATCTGAATCCCCAGAGGAACCTGCAAAGGCTAAGAACAGCAAGAACAATGAAAAGAAAGCAGGTGCCAAACCAAAACCAATGAAGCAGAAAAAGGATGAGGAGGCTGATGCAGAGCATGAACCATTGGGTTCTGGTCCACGACGTGATGAGGATCCTGATGGCAATGATCAACACGGCAATGGCTCTGATCAAACTCACGGGGATATCCCAATGAAGAGGCCTGCCAAAGGATCCCGCCCGGCTCCAAAGAAGAAGCCTGCAGTTGGCACCAAGACTGGTGAGATGGAGGCGGGCATGGTGAGATGTGGTTCAATCTGTTCCCAAGATTCCTCCTTCAAGGTAGTTTAAACTTTGTCTGGCCATACCAACTACCAAGTTTAAAGGGCTCAGGGAAGACATGTTCATGTGCTAAAGCACGTCTCAAGGACAATGGATCACTTTCATTTGCTTTCCACTCAGGAACCTTTGCCATTTCAGCACTTGATTGAGAAGACGTCCCTCACTGATGAGTTTTGCGATCCGAGCCCCCATTTCTCTACATTGCCAATGGACATCGATATGCCAGAAGTCACTGATCCCTACAGTGAGGTTGCCTTGTTTGGGTCGCCCCTTGTTCGCAACCTGTGCCTATGACTTCCCAAGACTTGCCTCACATGCACCCCGTGCCAATTGAAGTGTCGCAGCATCCAAGGCCACCTCAGGATGGCTTGCTCTACGGAGGATGGATCATCATCTGAAGGAGACGCCCGACAATCAGTTGGGCTTGGAGGCATCGCCCAGTTATGAGAACATGACTGCATCTTGGCAGTGCAAGAACAAGGGACTAAGGACTTGTACTGGCAACTTGTATAACTTGGTTCCAACAACTGTGTCCCAATTCTATTTCCAATTCCTCTTGTTCAGGTGTTTGCTTTGCATCCAGGTGTTTGGATTTTCTGCTACCATTGACCAGCGTGTGAGAAAGAAAGCTGGACAAGCGAGGCCATCAACTGACCAAGAAAGTTGAGCAAGCATGGCCCAACAACTGACCAAGAAAGTTGGACAAACATGGCCCAACAACTGACCAAGAACATTGGACAAGCATGGCCCAACATTTCACCAAACTTGTGAGAAAGAACATATTATATATTATATGTGTAAGTAGTATATGAAGATGGGAGGCCCACAAACCAACCGTACCGTGTACGCCGCTTAGTCAACCACACGTGTCCTACGAGTTGCCAAGGGGAAACGAGAAACGAACTCAGGGGACCGCGAGAAACGAGTACCGCCCAAATCATCGCTCGCTTGGCAGTTTTTTTTCAAGAGCGATCAGATCTGACACAGACCTTCACAAGAACCCCCAGGAAGTTGGTAAGCGTGTTCAACATGTGGTGTTCAAACTCCCTGGAGTGACGCAATGCGATTTGGACACATGCCCCACGCGCCCTGCCATCTGTTTATAGATCATGAATAACATTGGAACACTTGAAAAGAACACTTCGACGCAGAGCATGAAAGATGGCTACTTCACTCATGTCTTTCTTCTGCTCGATGGCCTGCGGAGGCGGCGGTTCGATCATGAGCACACAAATCTAAACTGATGAGACTTGTCTGGTTCTCCAATCTTGTTTGATTGCAAAGAGTTGCAAAGTGCATGAACAAATTCTCTTGCTGTCAGGGTGCGATGCAAACATGGGTACTATGCCCTGGCCTCAAACATCACCAGCCGTTTCGGAGCACTTTTCCAAAAGACCTTCCAAGAGATTTACACGTGGATTTGTGAGCAAGGGCTGGGCTTGGCAGAAATCCCTCACCAGAGCCTGACATACGAGGCCATCTTCGTGATCTTCTTTCCGCTTTAAGGCCTGTCAGCGTCGGTGTTGACGATCTCTGGGCATGGGGAGCCTAAGGGCTAGGTGTCCTGAGCCTCGTGCCTGAAAGTACAACCCTTTTTTGGATTTGAAGATGGGTCAACGGGCTTGCAGGCGCTCAGCGGGCTTGCTTGTCAGCTACACGGAATTCAAGCGTTTTGTCAGCTTGATCTCGAATATCAAACACTCTAACCGCGGCACGCCACTTGATGGCATTCCCCACATCTTCTATTTTTTCAACATCATGACCCCGCACTATGTAACGAAGTTCTTCCTGCCATGTGATGCGGCGGTCAGAATCCATAAAAACCTGGGCGTTGTACACCCAACGCAAGATTTCAATTAGAGCAGCATCGTCACCATCATCGATGTCTGTCATTGGTGAAAAGGGCTCAGAATTGACTTTGTACTCATACATATCCACTGGAAGGTGGCCCCCAGGCCAATCAACGCCTAAGTTTGACTAGATTATGTTTTGATTTGTAGGAAAACACAACAAGTTCACATGAGAGTCGGACCCATCACACCCTTCACCTCAACCTTGACGGCCATGAACTTGCGTTCACACGGTCTGTGGTTCGAATCTAGATCTTGCAAAAAGAGCTGCTGAACATATAGGTATGAAAAAGATCTAGATCTGTGGTTTGTTAAACAAGTGCAGCGTAGGCATGCATTTGTTGTGACAACATGCGCACACAGAGCGTGTGTTGCTTTTCCAGGTCGGTCTTTCAAGTCCGGCACCACAGCGAGCGCTACTGGGGAGGGTGGACAGGAGAAGTCACTAGCTTGTTTTTTTGTATTTACATACAGAAGCCGGTCACCCCTCCTCAGATGTCCTGACAAAAGCGCCCGGCATCAGAGTAGATCAAGGCCATCACCTGGAATGTAAATGGAGAGGGGTGAAGAGGTGTTGAAGAGGTGTTGAATTGATACGTTCATAAGTTCAACAGTTTTGAATGACAGTGTGAAGTACACTTTGAAGACATGAGACTAGTCGATGGCCATGTCATCTTCCTGCGCTTCCTCTTCTTCCCCTTCAGCGTTCCCATCCAACTGTTCTGTCTCAGGGTCCGAGGCCGCTTCGTCATGCACCTTCGCTTTCTGCAGCTCCTCACGGATCATGTTGTCCTGCAAGCACTTGAAAGATGTTTGACGAAGAGCTCAGTGACTCACTGCACACACCTTCAAACCCAAAGATGCTGATGCAAACAAAAGACCTTCAAAGACGAGGCAGCTTCGATATTTCCCAAAGTCCGCACCAATTCACTTCGCATGGCAGACTTAGATAAAGCTCCATGTTTCAACATTGTTCCAACCATGCTTTTTGTATCTAGATGATTCCAATGCCACATGAATGTTTGATGCCGACGAATGGCCGCAATCTCAGCCAAGACTTCCGGGGAGATGCCATCCACAGGTTTCAACTCAGTACAAAGAATTGACAACTGGTTTCACAAAAGCTTGTTTGAGAAGTTGCTTCACAGTGTAACTGAAACGCATGCCGCTGAAGCACTCGAAGCTTCTCTTGGCCGTTGATTTTGAAGCCATACATTCCATTCTTATACAAGCCCTTGGAAACGCTCACCTTCTCAGGCTTTTCATTGGAAGCCAACTTCGACGCAGCTGGCTTCTTCATCACGGAGGAGGCATTTGCAGCTGGTTTCTTCACGACAGGAAGGGAACCAGATTCACCTGTTTCAGTCGCAGTCTTCTTGCTCGCCTTTGGCTTTGACTTCGGTGTCTTCGACGGGGGAGGGATCATGGGGCCCTTACTACCAGGCCTCAGAGGCGGCATAGGTGTAGCCTTAGGTTGAGGTGTATTCGCATCACCTTCATTAGACAATTCATCGACGGACTGGAGTACCATGGCACAAAGGGCTAGATATCCAGCCATGTCAAAACTACAGACTCGTATTGAACCCAGGCTTTCACGAACCGAACAATGCTTCTCACTGCCTGTTCTTCCCAATGAAGGAAGAGATTTCAGACGACGAGCGGGGGCCTCAAGTAAACTTTTGCACGGTAGAAGCGCTTAGTTTCAGGTCATAGGTTCACTCCCAGGCCTCTCAAAATCTGTGTGCAAGGGCCGCCAGGACAGACCCACATGAAGAGAACACTGGATCTTTGGAAATCAATCAAACCTGTTTTGAAACCTTCGAGAACCAATTTTTAAGCCGGTCCTGAGCTAGCACACCCCAACCCTCCTACTCTGGATTTGCTGGGTTTCACACCAGATGCCCATCCTTGATGGACACAGTTCCCAAAAGATAAAATTTGGGCTTGAGCGGCGTCAGCACTGCCGGAACGCTGTCATCGATCCTGACCTGAGGCAAAAAACGATTTGGAAAGGTCGGCAGGGGGGCACAGTCGGTTGAAGAAGGTTGGACTGCGCAATGAGCAAGCATCTAAGTCTAAGTCAGCGTTCACCACCATGGTCTGAGCTATGGTTTCTGTTGTTGATATTTCTTTCCACCATGCCTCCCAGATGATACCGGCATTATCACCGCGACGCAGCTGTGAGAAGCGCCCACTGAACAAAGCCCCGAGCTGAGCCGCCCGGATCTTGTCGGTCTCGCCTGCCTCCTTCGTCAGCTCCCTGGGCCGGAAAGCATTTACCATGCCACTGGCCAAGACGGAGTATCTGTATTGTAGCACTCGATTGGTCCCATCACTTGCCACCTGAAGGGAAACTCGAGGTTTCCAGACTAGCAAAATCAAAAAACTATGAGTCGTTGTGAGCCATTTGGCTTCCATGCTTTAACAGTTGGCTTTCAAGTCTACATCGTACATCGCCCCGCCTGTGGTCTCAAGCTGTGGTCAATGACGCGAAATTCCGTGACCCCACGCTGCTTGGCGATGTTGCACAAGATTTCTGCCAATGGTTGCATGCTCTTATCCAGAGACAGCAATGTCTTGTCATCCTTGATGATCCAAGGTAGGTGGCCATCTACGCAGTCCCCCTCTCCTGTTCAGATTTCTATTTCTACTTGACAAGCTAGTTGTAATTTCATCTTTCCTGAAAAATCGGCACAAACTATTGGTGAACATATGTGAAAATATCACTCCTGATGCAACCTCCACGAACGATCCAGTGTTAAAGCCGAAAAGCTCTCCAGCAGGAACATCCAAGTTGGATCCGCTCAGATTGTGAAGCCACACAGAGTCGTCAGAGCCGATGCAGACTTGGACACCTGTGACTCTGCCAAGGTCTGCTGCAGCTTTCACCCTCGATTCGGGCACGGTTGCTCAGTCAATCATTTGGGCTAAGGCCGGCAACTGTCAAAGGAGGGCTGAACGAAAAACTTATCTCCAAGCGATGTTCAAACCTAGCCACGTCGTGGAACTCTCGAATGAACTGGTAGGCACAGCAGTCAAAGCCAGCTGCTTGCGCACATTGTGGGGCAGAGCACCCTCCCACTCTGGATTCGCCAAGGTGCGAGTGTCAGTGGTGGTCGCCGAACTCGATGAAGGCTTGGCCACTCCTGTGTGAAAAGATTTCACTGCCTGGATCACATCCAATTCATCGGAGAGTTTCTTGGTGGCATCCTTGAGAGAGTGATGCCCTGCGTACTTTTGCAACACCAATTCCGGCACCCTTAGAACCAGAGCGTTCTCCAAACAATCGCAGGTACGCGTACTAGATATAATATATATATATATGCGTAATATATATATATATATATGAATCTAAGTAAAGACACATAGAGTCACCGAGAAACTGAACGAAAACTTACAAAGAGCTTTATTCAAAGAGCTTTATTTCTCCCTCCACGATTGTCAGACACTCCAGGTTGGGCAACTCTTCGTGGAAGGTGGCGGCGGATCGACACTTTGGGCCCGCCTTCTCAGACCTGTCCCAAAACCCATCGAGGGCCTTTCCAGCTAGTGCCTCCATGGATAATGTGAGCTCTTTGGCGTTGTCCTCATGGTATACACCCAAAAATCTGACATCCAGGCTCCTGTCTTCCTCCAACAACCAGCTTTGCTGGATTTCCCAGCACGCCGAAGACCACTCCGCGAACCTCTCATGATTCGCCGATGAAAACAGCCAGATTTTTGTTCAGTCCTGCTACATTTGCTATACATTGTTTGTAGACATTTGCTACTCTGGTTAGAAGCTTCAAGGGATTGGAGGCCTCGAAGGAAGCAGGTCAACAACCAGAAGAGATTGTGTCTCTTTGGCTACTCCGTCAACGAGCTGCTTCAAGATGTTCGCCGTTGCACCCACCCCTCTCTGTTGCACCTAGGATTCCAGAACGCTTTACCTACTGACATGAAAACGAGTAAGCCTAATCAACTGTTGTTTGTTTTGAAATGTTTTGAACAATAATTTGCATGCTGGCAGCCCTCCAATGAGGAGCAAGGGCATGGTCTGGGTCAGGGTTTTGTAAATCATTCACCCTGGACCTCTCCACGTCGTTGATCGACCCCAGCAAGGCTTTGCTCCGCGCAAAGACCGTCGATGAAGACCCGCACATGGCCGCCAGGCCTGGTACCAGAGATGATTCTATTGTTTCTGTTTGGTGTCCTGCAATTGCAATAAGTATCAATAGATGCTTATATTTGTTGCATCCAAAGGGCATTGTTGGGACTTCTTACGCCGGTCTCCTCCATGATGCGAATCTGAGAAATGGAGGCTGATCTCGTACACGTCCATGCACCTTAGAACCACTTGGAGCGCGATTCAACCTCAATGTAGATATGTTTACAGCACTTCCAAACGCTTCACCCTTTTACAGAGAAATCAGAAGACATGCTGACCAGGCACCCCCCCACCTTATCCTCCAAAAGTCTCCGGTTTTTCAGCACCACATCTCGCTTTGTTGAGGTGTGAGTTTGCGGGAGGCAAAAGAAGGCCAGGCTGCGATTGTTCCCGCTGCTGACTGTCTGGCAGAGGCTGACCGCCTCGTCGATTGATAGCTGACCTGCGGTTGGGATTGATCTCTTTAAGTTGCACAACTGGCTTGAGGAATGCACCGCCAAAACTGGCTTGAGACTTCATTGCATTGAAGCAGTCATTGAAGCATTTTGTTTGGCAAGGCGCGTGATGGCCACAATGTGGCATCGACGATCAACAGCGTCAGCCTCAGGCAAAGACATAGATTGAACGCAGAGGCCCGTTCTCTTGCAACTGCTTCTTCACTTTTTGATTTCAAGTTGAGGGGCCCGTCAGAACCCATCTCTTGCTGCATACTCACGATCTTTGAATGGGACAGCACGAGCGAGGACACATGAACCATGCAATGCCGCTCTTGCGTAAAGAGTTGGAGCCAATCCTTGCCTTTCATGTACCGATCATTGATGTGCTTGTAGTCCAGTGCACCCTAGACAAGATTTGGAGAGAGAACCGTTTCAAACTTGCAGCACATCTTTCAACAAAGTTAATGTTGATCATCTAGTAGATATGCTCTTTGCCATTCATTGGCGCCTGCTGTTGCGCGTAGAGATTGAACTTCTTGGCAAACTCTTTGAGCTTCATGATGTCGCTATCGATTTGCAGCTCGCACTGTTGCCACGTCGTTTGGAGCAACTGCTGAGAAAGCCTGGCAAGTGTTCTGTGAGATTCAACACATGAAGATGTTTTGCGTGATACGAGTGAACCAATGTTTAAATCCAGGAAGCTCTGCAGCTTTGTTGCGGGTCTCCTCCTCCACCTGTTGTCCAAAAAACAAACAAGCCTTGCAAAATTGTCGTAGGTGATATATATATATATATTATATTAACAGCCAGGCCTTGTTTTGGTAGCGCTGGAGATGAGCTGCAAAAATGCTCACCTTCGATAGCGAAGCCGGTGGCACGCTGTGCTCCAGCATCGCCTGAAGGTCCGCGTCGCCGTGACGCAGCTCAAACCTCAGAGAAATTTGACACGATGTTTAGACCAAGCCTGTCTGTCATATTTTCCTGGTTCATTGGTTTCTTTGATTCATAGGTTTCTTGGTTCATATTTTCTCGTGTGTAGCTATGTGTAGCTGGGAAACGTTTTGTGGATCTCCGTCAAGCAGGTGTCAGCAAAGGTGGCTGGCACAGCAGCTAGAAACTGATCCAAGCAAGATAGGAAAGCGCCACATGACCTCTGCAACACCTCCTTGGTTCCAAGACAGCATGGATTTTGGACCACTCAATGAAAGATTCTTGCATTGACCATTGAGGCCCGGCATGACCCAAGCAGTTGACATGGACTGTCCGGACCCCAAGAATAGACTCTCACATTGAACTGAGATTCAACATCTTTCTGGTTCCAGGGACGCCGCTGTTTCACTGGAAGTGCGCACCAATCCTTCTCAGGCCGGTTGATCAGGAGTCTCAAGAGCGCTGGCGAATTGGTGAGTTCGGCTTTCCACGGCAGAAACACTCCAGTGGCCGTGCAATGCTGTGTATTGAATAAGTTGCCACTCAACGCGTCGTGAGTTATAAACCGTGGCATTCCATAAGTCCTGGACTAGAAAAACTTAATAAGGTTGAAACTGCATGCATAAACTCGCGCAAAGACAATGCAGGTGAACTCTAACACTGACATGGGACAAGCCTGGCCTCACAAGCAAGGTCAGAGACTCCTTCGTCTCAGGATTGATTTTCCTCAGCAGGTTTACTGCTGCGGCTGATTCCAACTTTCCGATGGAGTATGCAGCAGCGAAGGCTGCGATCGAAGAATTTGCCTGGAACGAGGGCCAACCAAGTTCATATATTAAATTGGGATTTGAGTGTCAAGATCAATTCCATGCGTCGTGCACTAACTTCTATGTTTTACGAAGGTCTCATCAGGCCTCCAAAGCTTGAACACTATGCTCTTGGCTGTGGCCTCCTCTCACCATCAGCTCCAGTTGGTGTACTAGATTAAAAGCATTCGGCTTGCGGCGAATGGTGGAGCTGAGTGTGCAGCCTGCGAGAGCCCCCACAAAAAAGAAAACAAGCGCTCACATAGCACGCAACGCAAACAAGATTGACAGGGGTTGTGACCTCGATTGGTATTGATGATCTGTGTCAAGTCTGCGTTGGTGACAGTCGCATGCATTGTAGAGAAAGTCCTTCCAAACAAGTGTTCACCGACCAGCGTGTACCATCACTGACATCAAGGGTTGCTGACAAGTGACGCTTTGACATCAGATGGCATGGCCTGGAGTTGCAATGGCTTTAACATGTTACACGTGTACTGTACGCATGCACAATTCCACAAGTGCATCCGAAATGCATCGAGCAGGGACGAATCCATAAATGCAGCCAGACATATTCCCAAGAAGGCCACGCTTCTATTCCAACCTTTCACCATGAAACATGACTCAGGTGGAGCAAGAGCAGCTTCAAAACCGATGTCCTCTCGGCTAATCTTGTGCAGTGGGAGCGTGAGCCAGTTGCTCTGAACCAGGGTGACGCAAAGTTTCTCCACACCCGGCAGGTTGGCGTCTGTGAGCATTCCGTTGAGCAGGATGAGTTGGCAGAGAGAACGCTGCACTTCCTGGTTCCGAAACTAGTTGAACAAGCTGAATCTTCGCAAGGCAAAAACACAAGGCAAGCAACTACCAGGCTAAACTCAGTCAAATGACACAATCTGCCGTGCCCCTCAAACCAAAGTCATTCCGGTGTGGCAACTGCCAGGGCCGCAACAAGGTGCCACCAGTCTGTCGAAGTTGTTCCAAACTTGCATACTGCCTCATTTGCGGCCGTCGGGGGGAACAGGAAACATTGCACTCACCAGCTTTGCACTCACCAGCTCAGCTTTGCACTCACCACATACCGCAGGAAAGGTCACCTCCAAGAACTTGTAGAAGCCAACAGCGGTTTCCTGATCGCGAACATCCGGGATACTTGTTGATATAAAGTTGTCAGACTGTTAGACGCAAGGTATGTCACAGTGTCTATGTATGTACGCTGCCACGCCATCGAGCAAAACTGTTGGGCCTCGTTGGACAGGTGTTCGGTCAAGACAACATCCAGGGTCTTTTGTTTTTCAATGACGTTCTGGTTCCTGGGCTGGTAGAGCAATATGACCAGATCAATCCAAATAATCTCTGAAGGCAAACTGTCCCGACTTATGTAATTACATTCAAAGCGGCATCCATTTTTCAAAGATCGCCATGTGGGGCATGGCCAAAGTATCAGCGGGAACCCCGGGGAGTTCATGCCCCTTGGTGCGCTGACGCCGCCCTCCTGGTCCTTGCGACTGGTCCGAAGGTCGCTTCTTTGGCGCCATCACGGTTGACCTGGCAGCCGAGGCACACAAGGCATACAACTTGGTGTGTACGCATGGAAACCAATGTTTTTTGTGAAGAGATAGTTAGCAACTCGATTTGTTCTGCTACGCACAGTCACTCCTTCTCGAAAGGTCATCGGTGCTGTGGAGACACCCCGTGCTCGGAGCCATAGATCCAAAAACCCCGGTGGGCATCGATTCGATTTAAGACTACTTGTTGATTTTGAAACAGTCTTCACAAAATGCATTGCTTTTTGAAGTACTCCATTTGTGAATAAAGACGACCACTTTATTCACAAAACACTTGAGACCAGTTGCGATCAATGCCGCACAATTTCCATAATTGGTGGATCACATGGCAATCTGAGCTGCACCATCCATTTCGTGAATAAAGACGACAACTTTCTTCACAAATCACGTTGCTTCTACAAGCGGTAATTTTGTTTGCCACAGCTCTTCACAAACCAGAGTTGGGTCAGGCTGATACTTCACAAAAACCGATCCCAGAATTCCCACTTGCCAGCCACTGCAACATGGATCATTCATTGTTATTTGGCAACAAATAACATATATTGACATAACCAAAGCTGGCAGAAACTATTCTTCACAAAATGGATGTGTCAGTCTACCGCTCTTCACAAAACTCTTTGTGAATGTGTTCGGTAAAATATAACAGAAAACGGTTCAGCCTCCAGCCTCGCTAACTAAGAGACATTGCCTCGGCCACTATGCCGATAGCATCATCCATGGGTACCCCGGATCTCCACAGCTTGGCTGCTGCAGAGTGCAGCGCTTGGTATCGTCTTGACAAACGATACCGCTCAGCTTCGGCTCTCTGCGGCCGTTGTTGCCCTAGTCGCAAAACATTTGGAGCCTAGGGGGGCAAGTCAATGGGTGTGATGTGTGGCGTGTGGGTTGCATGGAATCTATATCTCACACCAAATATCACCAAGATATCACTGCCTCTATATCACCAAGAGTTCTGAGTTTTGCACTGCCTCAAAGTCTCGACCCTGATATCTCCCGCCCGCTCGCACTGCAGGCCCCACAGCTGCTCCAGCATGTGGCACAGCCCTTAGAAGAAAGCCGTTGTTTGAGCGTTTCTTGAGCTTGTGGTGGAAGTGTTAGTTACTACTAGTCTTATACAGATTCACTCCATTTCACATGACATGAATGAAAGATTGTTAGGAATCTGACCAGCTGACATCCGCCAATGGTTCATGGGACACCACCCCATTGGCAATGTCTTCCAATTCTTTGGCAGCTGAGTTCATCTCAAACGGATATGCACCTTGTGGTTTGATCCCCATGAAGGGAAACAAGAGATGACAGAAACAAACAAGTGGGAACCATCCATAGAATCCAGAATCAGGATCGACGTTTCTGAGATTAAGGCGCATCAACCCAGCATACTTCTTGAAAGCCTTGGCCTCCTCTTGGCTTATGGTCTTGGGCTCAAGGAAGACTGGCAGGAAGCAAGCGTCCACAGGTGAACGCACCACAGAATGAAACTTACTATGGAATGCAGGGCCGAATTTGGTGGAATCAGTGTTTCATTCAACAGAGCCTGGTGGAGAGCCAGAGCACGCCCTGGCCACGTCATAGGGCAAGAACAACAGTTGATGTTCACTCCAATGTACATCACTCATAAACCTCTTCGTCCTGGAAGGGGCAAGTTGCAGTTCGACATGAGCATGTTTTCATCCATGAGGGGTCCCGTTTCACAGTCCTTAAGATAACGTCTGAGGGATGAGGTGTGTACTGCATCCGGCTCCAGAAGCGGCAGTCCAGGTTCGCCCTCGGGACACCTAGCGCGCGCGACATTTATATACATTAGTGGTATAGAACGGTTGATAGGAGAAGCATGCTTAGAGGCACACTGTTGACTGTGTCAGTTCAAGAGCCAAATGCAAACATCAATCAATTGTTTCGCGTAACCTAAAGGATGACTCACCAGACCTATGTCCCCAATCCGATCAAATCGGAAAAGATGTGGCGCCCCTGGACCGCCACATCCTGTGAGATGGCAATGTCCCATTTGCTCTGAAAAGAAAGTCTTCCTAGGCTGAGCAAAAGAGAAGATGACACCAACAGTGAGCATTGAAAAGACCCAAAATGCGTACTTCAACAGTAAGCTTGATCAAGAGACCAATCGCGGTACTGCGTAATGAGGTTTACCTTTCGGCATCTTTGCTCCAAGGGCCGTCGTTCCTTGTCAGCGAACCATTCTTGGATACAGTGCTTGAAGCTTTGAGGGGTGGGAAGCTCTTGATGCGACTGCAGCCATGCCCTGAGTAAGCTGAACATAGCATCAACGTCCTCATGACTATGGCCAGAGCTGAGGAAGCCACATTCTCCTGCTTTTATTTTGGACATTGCCGTCCAGTAAGCTATTGCCCGGAACGTCGTATTATTTTTCAGCTCCTTCGAGCAATTGTCTCCCTGGATGTGGAGCACGCTGTACCGTAGATCTACCTCACGAGATAGCATAGTCAATCCGTTGCTCAAAATTTCCGTGCTCCTTGAGGAGTTGGAGGAAATAAAATGAGGCGAAAGATTGACCGTGACCATGTGGCCATGTAGTATCAAGCTGGTAGATGTAAGTCGCGGTCTGTTGAAGGCGCTGAACTCTTTGCTTGCCATGTTCTTGCTGCGGGGCCAGGAGTGTTTCTGGGCATCCATTGAGTCAATTATGGCTGTGATGCAGTACACGAATGGGTGGTTGGTCTGCAAGCGGCTTTGGGCCCGTAAATCCCAATAAGCTTGTCTGTCCCTGTGCTGCCGTGTGAGATGCCTTCGCAGAAGAGCTTCCTGTGTTCGCCTTGCTGCTGGGCACTGTCCTAGCTTCCGGAGCACCAAGCGGTGTCGGATACACTGGGAGCATTTACTGTGATGCTTTGCAAATCGTATCCTCAAACGATCGTCGAAGTCATCTTGCCATACCTAGTTTTGCAGTTGAAATTAAGCCTATGGCAGGCATCAACTCATTATATAACTAGACTTTGAGCGATTACGCGAGCAAAGAAAGCTTTGTTTGTATTCACCATGGACGAGATACTGAAACGAAGAGTTTCTTGCTCACCTTGATCTCTGGCAAAGCGGCCACACATTGCAGGTGGTAATCACCTATACTTGCTGGGGGCAAATGCTTTATCTTTGTTCGATCCATCTCACGATCACGACGATTGTCCCCCTGTCGGGGCCGCTTGTTGCTGTTAAGGCCGTCAGGAATGAACTCCGCAGTTTCATAGTACAATTTGGACAGGAATCCATGCACTTTGGAGCGTGCTTCTGACGGTGGTTTTTTCCCCCGGGCAATGTACCTTGCATCAAATGGCGGGAATTTCTCCCCTGCTCGACTTGCGGCTCTCATGCGCGCGAAGCGGCCCTGTCCAATACCCATAAGTATTCTGAAACCACGGTTACAGACTAAGTATCCCTCATAGGACAAATGACGGATGCCTCTGCAAGCCGCTTCAGTGGTGTTGTGGATGAGGTCATAGACCTGAATGCAATGAATGGAATCCCACATACTATGTGTATATAACACCTGAACTACACAAAAACTGGTAGAGTCAAATCGATTCACATTGTATTTGTTTTGAGTACCAGGCATACCGATCTTTCTCCAGCTTGGTCATCTTGTCAAAGAGCATTCGCAGGTTGAGCCACTTTTCCCACAAGGAGTAGTTGTGGCGAAAGGGGTCAAAACAGGAGAGAGTACAGCCACATGTTGCCATAATCAAATGCCGCAATTTCTGAGGATCAGCCGTGCTCTTCGCGATACGCGCGCGCCGTTTCTGGCCAGGCCTCTTGGGCCGCTTGGGACGCTGCTGCGCTGGAGGCTTCGGGATCGTGGTGGGTTTCAAGCACTCTTCATCACTCAACGTCTCCACCGCTGCCAATGGCATTGGACTCACCTATGTTCAGCTGCTAAAAAACAAACAGGTCTCCTAAAGTTCATGTGTATCAGCTGGTTGCATCATGATCTCTCTCTTGACGGGATGCAGGCCTGGCACTTCGGTGAGAGGATGCAAGAGCCTCGCGAGTCACTGGGAGCCCAGAGTGCACGCAGCGATCAGCTGTTGCTTTCTCACTTCAACTTGAAACCCAGAAGCCTGTGATCGATAGAAGCACGAATAGCAAGCGCACAAACATTGACACTGCGGCCGTAAAGGAATGATAACCTCTCTTGTTAGCCATGCGCATTTGAGACCATGATACGCAATGGTTTGAAAAGCCCAACAAAGAAGAACGTGTTTTTGGTGTTCAGGTAGTTTCAGCAATCTTCTCGCAGAATGAATGGATTGAATATGATTGAACAATGGACCTATGAGCCAAGAACTGCATGAGTTGAGTTGGCAGTTTCTTCAATTCAAAACGCCATAACTTGCCGCTTGCCGAGATCACAAACAGGCCAGATGTTCCCTTTCAGGCGCTCAAGCCCCAGAGCGCACAGTCCGC